TTTAGGGTTTAGGGTTAAGGGCTTGCCGAAGGCACCGTGATTTCCTATGATGCGAGCTCAAGCCAAGCCCCTGCGCATGGACCCTGTAAAGAAGACACTACATACTTTAGTTACTAAGCCCCGGTCCAAGTCTGATAACCTGGGTTGTAGTTTTGGGGCCCTAAGAAATATTTCTGAATATGTACCTCTATAGGGACCATAAGGGAAAGTTTAAAGCTTCCCAAAGTGCCACCCCCCGTTAATCTGTATAGAACCCTGGGCTTGTGCTTCAGGGTCTTGCAGGCCCAAAACCCCTGCAGAGCCCTAAAATGCCCCTAAACCCCTAAAGATCCATAAGATGCCCTTCTAGGTTTAGGCTTTAGGGTTTAGGGTTTAGGGTTTAGGGTTAAGGGTCCCAAGCCTCTATAAAACCCTCTAAGGTGCCCTTAAAATGCCCTATAGAGCCGAAAGCTAAAGTGCCCTTATCGCCTCTAGCCCAGGGCCTTGACTCGTCCCTTAAAGTTTTTACTGCCGATGATAAAAAACCTTGCATTACCTAAAGGACCCTAAACTATGGGAACGATGATATTTTCCATATTATGCAAGGACCCTAAACTAAACTATGGGAATTCTGGTATATATTGCTTCTGATGAGTCTTCCAGGATATATGTCATCTACCGTATTACTCAGACCTTCATATTTCCACCTCCACCCTCAACCCGAAACCCTCAACCCCAAACCCTCAACCCTAAACCCTCAACCCTAAACCCTAAAACCCTTAAACACTAAACCCTAAAACACTAAACTAAACCCCAAAACCCAAAACCCTAAACCCTAAACCCTAAGCCCTAAAACACTAAACCCTAAGGGCCTTCAAGATCAGACGCGGGGTCTCTTTAAAGGCCTCTTTACAGGAGCCCCGAAAGGATCCCGATACGAAGATGGATCCCTTAACCTCAAAGGAACCCTTGAAGGAGAGGGCTCCTTTAGGGTTTAGGGTTTTTGGGGTTTGGGGTTTAGGGTTTAGGGGCGTATAGGGCTTAGGGTTTATAGGGGTTCAGGACTTTAGGGGTTTAGGTTCTAGGGGTTTAGGACTTTAGGGGTTTAGGATTTAGGGGTTTAGGGTTTAGGGGTTTAGGGTCATCTAGGGTTTATAGATGTCAAGCTCCCGGCGCTTGAGAGCATCGGCAGGACGGAGGGCTAGGCTCACTCCAGCAACTACCTGCTTGGGGGTTTAGGGTTTAGGGGCGTGTTGTGCCTTTTGTGGAGGAGGGGGGGCTTTAGGGTTTTACGGTTCAGGGTTTCAGGGTTTAGGGCTTACGGCTTAGGGCGTGGGGTTTTAGGGATTTGGGATTTTAGGGTTTTAGGGATTAGGCTTTAGAGTTAAGTTAGGATCAGTGGGAGCCAGAAGGCCGGACCATCGTTCTCCTGACGCCCTTAAGGTACCCATAGGCCCCATAGTAGTTCGTTTTTGGGATTACCTTATAGGATTCTATATGGGGGTTTCTAAAAATAGGGGACCCTAATATAGTATCCCAAATAGTAGGATCCTTGTGATAAGGACGCCCAAAATAAGGTACCCTGATTTTCGGAAACTCCCATATATGAACCCCCAAAAAAGGAACTACTTTAGGGGCCTATGGGCAGAGTGTAGGGCATCCTCGCACTAATCATCCTAAATCTATCTTCCAACTGTCCGTGGCTCACTATAGAGTTTGCGTTTAGCTTGGTTCAGGGTTTAGGGTGTAGGGATTAGAGTTTAGGGTTTAGGGTTTAGGCTTCAGGGTTCGGGGTGCAGCGATTAGGACTTTTTGAGGGCCGTGTTCCTTCCGCCAGGGTTTAGGGCCGGTGTAGGGTTTAGGGTCTGCAGTCTAATGTAGAGGCCTAAATAATACTAATTCGGGGGTTCCTTATTATAATCATATGGGACTCAAAATTATTAAGGCCCCTATATTAAGGTTGAGGCTGCGGTTCACAGCACAAGAGGGTTCAGGATTTGGGTTGTTATGATGAGGATGTTGCTTCTTTTCAGAGGTGCTAGGAACTTGCCCTAACCAAGAGAAAAGGTTACAGTAGATTGAGCCCTTGTTGGTTTTCAGTTTCAGGACTTATCTCGAAACCTTGATATTGATAAAACCCTAAACCCTAAACCCTAAACCCATAACAAGGTTCAGGTTTTTGGAATTAGGGCCTCCTGCGCATCCAAATGCTTCGTCCTGCCGCATGGGCACAACCGTTAACCGTAAAACTTAGCCCACAGGCATTTGCCAACAAAGGCGCGCACCTTCGCCAGAAGCTGAAACACGTGGAACAGAGCTGCAAGATATGTTCTCAACAACTATGTAGCTCAAACCCTAAACCCTAAACCGAATGTAGGGTTTTGCCTGCTTTTTGCGAGGCTTCTGCGAGTCTAGTGAGCACCACTACGAAACGTCATCACTGGGGCTCCGCCCGTAGAGCGGGCTTCAGGTTTGGCATGGATTTGGTTTCACAAGCAGTCTTTATTATCTTTATTATTATTATTAAAAAAATATTACTATTATTATTGTAAGTCTCACTACGGCTTAGGGCTTAGAGTTTAAGGTTTAGGAATTTAAGTCTCATTAGAGCTTAGGCACCAGCCTGTACTTGGGGCCTCGCTACTCTGCGCAAGCCTGCGCTAGCCGGCAGAGTCCTTATCCCAGAGACTCCAATACCCCTTAATTGAGGAATATACCTTAAATCATATTAGGGATCCTTCTATAATTTAAGGTATATTCCTTAATTAAAGGGTATTGGAGTCTCTTAGTATCGAAAACCCCGTAAGGTTTGGAGTAGGCTCGACTGCTATACGCGACAGCGAGCGCAACAAAGTGGAAAACCTCGACCCTAAACCCTAAACCCTAGACCCCAAACCCTAGCGCTAGACCCCAAACCCCAAGTTCGGTGAGAAACGGATGTGTTTCAAGGGCCCCTTGGGTTTAGGGGTTTGGGGTTTAGGGCTTAGGGTTTAGGGCTTGGGGTTTAGGGCTTGGGGTTTAGGGTCTGGGGTTTAGGGTTTAGGGATGTGTTTCAAGAGCCTCTTGGGTTTAGGGTTTAGGGTTTGCCCGAAACCTTAAGAAGGACCCACGGGGATACGTGTAGCACCCGGAGTCTTGCAAGCCGTCTGATCTGTACCCTGCACCCAAGCCCCCATCAACCCGGTATGGCACACGCTAAACCCTAAACTTTCCTCAAACCCTAAACCCTAAACCCTAAACCCACCGCGCCTTACGGGTGAAGCATGTTTCCATGACGAGCTACCGGTTCAAGCACCATCAAGCGCAGGTGGCGCTTCTCTTTCCGCTGCACAACTTCCACGTGCCCTCTTCGATGTGCTGACATCGAGGGGCTGACGACGTTTCTTGGGCGAGATCCTGTCGGCACCGACATCCAGCAGCAGTCTGGCAATCTCCCCATGGCCATGATGATGAGCCAGCATCACAGCAGTGAAGCTGTCATCGGTAGCTGAGTTCACGTCGGCACGGGCATCCAGAAGTATTCTCACCGCCTCAAGCTGCCCATGTTGAGATGCTAGCATCAGG